CGTCTTCACTTGGTGGGAGGGATTCCTCCCTATAAGAAGGGTCTGTGGGATCCTCCTCCTCATTAGTTGCTTCCAAAGTCCTTAAAGCCCCCCGCGCCGCCGCCTGGTACCCGTTCTCCGGTCCCCCGCCTGTCCCGCTAGTAACCAGCCTCCTACCTCCGCGGCTACTCCGTTCCCCCGATGGTGATTGCTGGAGCGCCTGAGCCGTCGCCAGAGCGCGCTGCCGCCTGGTCGGCAGTCGTCGCCAAGCCTCCGCCTCAGCCCGAAAAGGTGACCACGGCGTCGAAGCCTCCTGTACCGCCGGCTCCGAATCCCGCGATATCAATCGCTGAAAGGACTCTTCCCCCCGCACCCGCAGCTCCTCTCGTCGTGGGCGAGGCTGGCCCGTCTGCTGCTGTTGTCGCTCCGCCTGTTCCTCTTGCTGCTCCCGTCCCCCTTGCTCCCGTCGTTGCATCGATGGCGTCTGCTCCTGTTGGGGTTGCTGCTGACCTCCCTGATCCTGCTCCTGCTGGGGTTGCTGCTGACCTCCATTATCCTGCCCCTGGCGCACTCGCTGTGCCGGCTGCTTCTGTCCCCGGCGTGCCTACGCCGGCGTCTGTCTCTTCCCCGAAGGCGGCGTCCGCCACCACTGTCGGGCCGGCCCCGATGGTTTCGCCTCCCGACGCGAACCCGACGGCTCCCGTTCTGCCACCGGCGGCTCCTGTTGTTCAGCCGTCTCGTCCCCATTCGCCTGACCGCCGTCATTCCCAGCCCCATTCTCCAGCGCCCCAGCAGGAGCGCGAGACGTCGCGGCGCCGGCGCAACTCCCCCCGGCGCTACCAGAGCAGGCACAGTGGCCCGCTCACCCAGTTGGCAATGGGGGCCGGCGGGGTCCCCAGGGGCGCAGTGGAGGCGGGAGGTATCGTCCGCCCGTGACGCTGGCGGATCTCCAGCGAGAGGTGTCGCGGGAGGTGACGCGGGCCGTGCGCGAGGAGCGGGCGGCGCAGAGCCAGAGCAGTTCGCTACGGGCTGTGCCGGCGCCAGTGGCTCCTCGTCAGATTGTGCCTCCGATTGTTTCTCCGCCCGCTGCAGCGTTTCCTCCTTCCGTGCTTGCCCCATTAGCTCCTGCTCCATCTGTTGCGGCGCCTGCGCCTGGCGGTCGTCTGCATCTGCCACCAGTTCCACCTGTTGCGGGTGTGGAATTCGTTGCTGCGGGGGGCGGCTCTGCGGCTCAGCTCTCCCACCTCGTTTCTGCTGATGAGCCGCTTCTGTTCCTGGCGGAGGCGCTCCAGCCTCCACAGACGCGCGTTCCCGAGGCGACTCTCGGCCAGCTCCACCGCCTCGCGGAGAGTCTTCACGCGCTGCTGCTGATACAGGTCCTTGCTCATTCGTCCCTCCCCGTGATCCCTCCTGAGTCGTTCCGCGACCGTCCGCGCGAGACCTGCTTGGATGCGGCGGACCAGCTCGCTGGCGCTGGCGCCCGTGCTGGCTGCGCTTGCGGAGGGAGGCGCTGCTGCTGCGGGACAGCTGGACGAGGCTGTCCGGAGCTTGAAGCGGCACCTGCGCGCTGGATCTGGAGCCGCGGCGATCGGCGCAAGCACGCTTGTGGTCCGGGAGCTGTGGCGCTCCCTGACTGGCGTTCTTCACGCTCTCGGAGCTCACCGCATGTAGTTGCGGGCTCCCCTATATCTGTTTCCGCCATTCTAGGCCGCTATGTGTGATGCCATGTGTGTATGTCAAGTCAGTAGTGAAGTTCTTTGCGCGGTGTGCGCTTGCCGTCCCCTCACGCGCGGCCGAAGGCCGCGCCGTCGAGCGTCGGCCGCCGAAGGCGGCCGGCGCGAGCGAAAAATTCCGGCCCACAAATGAATAATGAGGAGATGAATCAGTAGCAGCCTCTTAAATTCTCTCTCTCTCTCTCTCTCTCTCTCTCTCTCCCTCTCTCCCTCTCTCTCAATCACGGTCCTTGAATTCATTTTAGGGTCCTTCAAGGTAGACGCAATATCATGCAAGGCAAGCAAACCAGGTTTCTACCTACTACATCATCACCTACCCCCTCCCACCCCCCATTTGTCTCCCAATGATATATATGGTAGGGACGTCATGGAATTTTAACTCCTGTTTCTCTCTCCCACGCGAGTCTGCGTGCTGTTGTTGCTATGTCACGTCAAGTGTGCACTGCCCCTGTTCCCATTTGCCTGCCCTCGAACAGAACATTTTCGTATAATCTTCTCAACGGTCGCTGAGAAGACTTTGTTTCCGGCTTCGCGGGATCTACATCTCTAAAAGTCATGTGAGCAGCCAAGAGCACGTAATCTGAGAGTCGAATACTGTAAATCATCATCAGGGGTGCTGAAGGGGTAAGAAGCCATGCAACTTGGCTGCAATAGGAACAACATATAAGTTTCACACGGCTGGATGGGGGCATGCAGTTGACTGCAAGGAGAGTTTGCTGCTCTCTCAGAAGGAGAGCGACACATCAGGAGGACGTACTGGTCGAATATGAGTCTTGATAGGAGTATATTTGATCACAAAAAGCCACACGCTATGAACCTGAGTGGGTGCGTGTCATCAATCTGGCCATCAAGACTAACTTCCCTGCCTTCCCTTCCTTCAATCGGCAGAGCACTTGACTATAACTATCTGTACGGTTCGGTCCCTTCGTTCCTCGTATCGCTCCCATCACTCACAATGCTGTAAGTAGCACAATGCCATACATTTTATCCCCTTTCTCTACTCTCAAATCTGCTTGTTAGCTCCTCTTCTCTGTCATACCCAACTGGTCTTCACAATCTGCAATCACCTTTGTCCCACCCACTCTCGTCTCCTCAGTTCTCTGCAAGTCAACTTCCTCATCGGTAGCATCCCAGCCATCGGATCAGCTCTGAAGAGTCTCAACTTCGACAGCAACTACATCTCAAGCATCGCCACTAATTCGCTCACCTATTGCGGCTGCAATTCATGCTGCCTCTCCGATCCCTCCAAGTGCACCAGTACCGGAACTATCCAGCGATCCGCTGTTCAGTGCTCCATCTGTGGCACTACCAATGCCGCTGGTCCCATTTGCTGGGTCGCCGGTGGGGAGTGTGTGGTCGCCGGCGCCGCTGCTAGTAACATTGCCAAGGGCAACATGAATTCAAGAACGCAGGGCGCTGACCTACCCATGCTCTGCTCAGGTAACGTGCCTTTACCCTCCATGTGGGTCCACACTCTCCTTTACCACCTCACCTCATCGTTGGTGCAGCAGTCCTGTGTGTCTGGAACTCGGATCTCTACATAAATAAATCTGCGTGGTACGTTCTGGGTGAGTGGTGTGTGAACCAAGTGGTTTTCAATACTCGTGTACCTTTGTGCCTTTCTTCTTCTGTTGCTGACCCTTTTGTCGAATATGATGATGATGATGATGATGATGATGATGATGATGATGATGATGATGATGATGATGATGATGATGATGATGATGATGATGATGATGATGATGATGATGATGATGATGATGATGATGATGATGATGATGATGATGATGATGGTGATGATGATGATGATGATGATGATGATGATGATGATGATGATGATGATGATGATGATGATGATGATGATGATGATGATGATGATGATGATGATTGTTATTATCGTGATATACTCACCCACCTCCCTTTTGTATGGTCAAAACCTCCCTGTGAACTACTATGCAGGCGGTCCTCTTACTGCCGTGTCATCTACCAGCGTTGCAGGTGTGTGGAGTCTTCTCCTTGTCTTGTCATCCTTGCACATCCATCAGTCATAAGTAGCTTTTGGGTGGTTCATCTTTTTGTTTTGGTATATGTATATATATTATTGTTTTTTTCCACCACACTTCTCTCCACATCTCTCCTAATCCTTGTACCTCTTGTTCCCTCCTCCCAACTGTCCACGATGTCCTTGCTACTTTGTTTCTTCCCATCCCCAACCTTACCTCTCCCCCATCCCCTTCGCCAGCACTGCTGTCGCTCAAGTCATCGCTGGGCGTGACTTTCACCTCGTGGGCAGCAACTGTGCCGTGCCAAGTGGCTGGCAAGCAGGCTGCTGCACAGCCCGTGTGGTCCGGCATGCTCTGTAGTGATATCGGGGACGTGCTTTCCATGTGAGCACCCATGCTTCAACCATGCTATAGTGTCGGATCTACTGAACCGAAATTCTTTAAATGCTTTCTGATGCAATATCTTTTTTGGGATTCTAAGGTTTTTGCTCCCTGCCTCTATCACCATCCTTGCATTGCCACACCCCTGCCTCTACGTCACTCCCTCTCAGCTCATTGGCGCGTCAAAATCTGACAGGGTCCATTCATGCGGACATCTCCAAGCTCACTGCGCTCACGTACCTGTAAGGCTTGAGTGGGAAGACCTGTTCACAAGACAGAGCCATGTTCTATGCCAAGGTAGTTTCATCTTCAGGTCGCTTGGTAAACTCCCTGCTACCTGCAAATAAGATATGGACGTTATTTCAGGATGATGAATATGTTTGCACACAAATCAATCCTCCCAAATCACTCCTATTCTCAACTCTACCTTCGCCGCCCGCTGTAGTGACTTTGGCTACAAGCTCTTCCAAGGCCGCCTTGACTCGTTCTCCACGCCACTTAAGAATGTGCCCAGCCTCAAGGCACTGTGAGTACCGAACCTCGATTCTGATGGCCTCTCATATGTGAGGGCATGAAATATGCTCCCTAGTTCATGCTCCCTTTCATGTCCCCTCACCCTTCTTTTTATAACACCTCCTCCTCTCCTCCCTCCCTCAGATTTTTCCACTACAACTGGTTTGTGGGATCGATTCCCTCCTTCATTGCCTCCCTGCCAAATCTCACCACGTTGTAAGCAGCACACAGAACTTCAAAATTCCATAGGTGCTTGCACGAGCCTCTTCGCTGACCCCTTGCACCTTGTTCACACTCGCCCCCTTTATCCTTGATTCTTCTCTTCTCACTCACATCGTGCTCATTCACCCTTCCTTTTCCCACCATGTGCCTGTGTTCGTTTCCCCCCCAGAGGCCTCTACTCCAACTACCTCACGGGCACCATGCCCATCCCCTCAACCACCCTGGTCGGTCTGGACGTGGGCTTAAACTACCTCTCGGGCTCCTTCCCCCAGCTCTCCCTCAAGAGTTGTTCGGCTGACTGCAACTGCTTCCTCTCCTCCTCCTACTGCCGTTCCTCCAGCCAGTACCAGCGCTCCGCCTCCGACTGTGCCATCTGCGGGTCTGCCGACGGCCAGGGCGAGTTGTGCTATGGTGGGCTGTGCGGTCATGACAGTGCTGATGCAGTCAGTGCGGGGACTGTAAACTCTCCAGCACTGCCCATGGTTCCCATGAAGTGTCTTGGTAAGTGTGGTTCTGTCCTTTTCTCGGCTGAAATGGACGATAAGGGAAAGCTTCACTCGGTACTTTTGGCTGGAAACTTGTGTTTCCCTGACTGGACTACTGCAATCACGCTGTGGTCTGCAATGGCAGGCAGGGGTGTGGTTTTGGTGAGGACCACGTAGGGCAATGCCAATCTTGCTCTTCTCTCGTCCAGACCAGAGCCTCCTGTTGTATGAATGCTGCGTTCCTCTGCTGGTCAGCTGGATCCCTATCCCAGAAATACCTTCGGCGTGATGGCTGATGTTTTTACTTTTGGGCTGCTCCAGCAATACCTCACATCCATCCTCTCTCTGCGCATCTGTCCTTCTCTGTGCTGGTGTTTTCCCTTCTCCGGTGTGTGACTGTTACCGCTGTGTGTGGCTGTTACCCCTGCGTGTGGCTTTACCCTCTCGTGTGGCGTTACAGGTTCGCCTGTGGTCGTAATGGATACTGCCTCAGGTGATTTTTTTCTTTTGAAGCTCACGATTCTTTTGCATTACTCACCCCTTTGTTTCTTGTAAACCCCTCTGTACATTTCAGCCTGTTTTGCACATTCCCCCCTTCTCCGTTGTCAAATGTCCCAAGAGTGTTGAATCTCAAAGCCCATTTCACACCCCTCTTCCTCTCTATTACCTCCTCCCCCTCCTCCTCCTCCTCCTCCTCCTCCTCCTCCTCCTCCTCCTCCTCCTCCTCCTCCTCCTCCTCCTCCTCCTCCTCCTCCTCCTCCTCCTTCTTCTGCTGGTGCTGCTGCTGCTGCTGCTGCTGCTGGTGTTGCTTCTCCTCCTCCTCCTCACCACCATTTCCTTCCATTTCCCCCCATCTCGCCCCATCCCAGCCTATGTTCTACTGAGCGTGAAGTCATCTCTGGGAGTCACCGACTCTACCTGGGTCGCCGCCTCCCCCTGCACAATCGGGCAGTCCCGATGTCAGCCTCCCAGACACCTGGAACGGCGTGGGCTGCTCCGTTGCTGGGGCCGTCATCAGCGTGTGAGTGATGCTGGAAACCACGAGTGAGTGAATGCTGTATTTACTGTGATGCTTATAGTCTTGGTGAATAAAGGGCAGAAGCAGATTCTCTGCAGCTTCAGCATGGCTGACTCACTCCTGGGATGACCAGCTGACGGTTTTCAGACTGTTATTTTAGTGCCTTGGTTGGAGGTTGAGTTACAGAGTGTAAAATGGTAGTCCCTCACGGCTTGTTTCCACATCTCATCGTCTGACTGTCATGCAATCGTCTTGTGTCACGTGGCTCAGTTCCACACTACCTAACAGTAATTGATATTTGCCTGAGGATGATCCGAACATCCACACTCCTCCTTACCCACCCCTCCCCTCTTCCCCTTCTCTCTCTCCTCTTCTCCCTTCTCTGGGGGTGCCGTCACACTCCTCTTGGCTGCATACAGGAACGTGACTTCCATGGGCCTCAGTGGCAGCGTGCATGCCGACATTTCCAAGCTCACTGCCGTCACATCCTTGTCAGTTGTCCTCTCCTCTTTTCCATCCCACTCTCCCAACAACTCCTCTCCCTCTTTCCCCTCCCATCGATCTTCCCCTTGTCTAGCTCCCTCCTCTTCTCTCTCACTATCAATCTCTCTATGTATCAACCCCTGCTCAACCCTCATCCTTCCTGCTTCGTCTCCTTTTGCTAGGCCAGAAAACCTTGCTGCTTTTGCAGTCCTCTCTTCCCGTTGCATTCTAGCATCCCATCCCATCCACCTGGAGCATCTGTCAAACCTCAGCACGTTTCTTCCATCCTACTTCCCTCCTGGGCTGCCTTCCCCCAATGCCTCAGGGACCTGTCGAGCAACCTTTTCCGCCAGAACCTCGCCTCATTCACTTCTGGCTTCTCCAAACTGCAGGCCCTCAAACGCCTGTGAGCGACGCCCATTCACTCTGACCGTTTCTGGGCCGACCTTCATTTGATATCTCACTACATATTCATCTTGTATCAGTGGTCTCTTTTGCCTGTGTCCCTTTCTCCTACACAACTCCTTTCCTGCTTCCTCTCCCATTCCTCTTTCCTTTTCATTGCTTAAATCAAGTTCCTTACCTCCTTCTTCAACCTTCTTCATTCCCTTGCCTTATTCAGTTTCTTTCTCACGTTTTGCTGTCTTTTCCCGCTTTTCTTGCTTGCCTCCATCTCCCTTGGCTCTTTCATCTCCCGTGCCTCCTTCCTCCCCATTAACTCATTCCTCTTCTTTCTCCTTGCAGCCTACTGAACAACAACTGGTTCGCGGGCTCCATTCCGTTTGCCCTCGTCTCCCTGCCCACCCTCACCTACCTGTAAGCAACTCTACCTTTCTCGCCAACAAAATGCGTTCAGGGTCCATTCCTCTCGTCATGTTATATGACCCGCATTGTGACAAGAAGTACTGTACGATGCACCATTGTTCCAGTAACCCACCCACCCACCGTACGAACCCACTTTGGGCATCATATTGGAACTAAATACACACACGCACGCACGCACACACACACACACACACACACACACACGCACACACACACACGCTCGCACGCGCGTGCGCACACACACACACACACACACACTCACACACACTGTATGGGCCCGGGGTTATTGATATGCCACCGTTCTCTCGGTCCCAAGCTGGTCCACATAGTACACTACACGCTGCAATACATCAGTGACCATTCAATATATGAACTTGTCTCCCCTTGCGAGCTGTCCATCCCAGCTAACTAACAACTTACCTGAACCACTTACTTGCAGAGACCTGCACACAAACGCACTGACCGGGACGGTGCCAGCCCTGCCCACCTCTCTCCTCTCCCTTGACATCCAAGACAACTTCCTCGCGGGAAGCTTCCCTACTGCTTCCCTGAAGAGCTGTGATGCGAGCAGCAACTGCCTAGCGAGTGCGATGGCGTGCAGCGAGGAGAGTGCTGTGTCTCAGAGGGATGCCGACACGTGTTCCTTCTGCGAGTCGCAGGACGGGACGGGCTTGCTGTGCTTTGGAGGGTCATGCTTGCCGGATGTGGATAACAGCACCGTGCATGATGATGGCATGGACCCTCCTGACATGTACTGTATTGGTGAGTCAAGGCGCTTGGATGGCTGCACCCTGCATGCAGATGGCGTGGATCCTCCTGACATTCTAGCAGTGCTGCATGGCATGTTGTGGCAGTGCCTGCATAATAAAAATGGGTGAATTGGGGAATCACTGCTATCCATTTGTCTCTACTCTCATAATTAGCCACCCTCATTCCTCTCGTCTTTTTTGCCCTTCTCCCTGTCCCACTGCAGAGGCACCGGTGGTCACAATCCATCCTACCGATGGTGAGAGACTTCGAGAGACACATTAGAAGTCACATGGATTTGAGCATGCTGTGTGGTGACACATTTCACAAGTTAACTACACATTTTTAGAGTTCAGTGTGGTATGCTTATTTTCTCTCCATCCAGCCAACCTTCGTCCCTGCCCATTGCCTCTCCCACAATGTCACCTATTCAACCTTCTTCTTTCTCCTATCTGTGCCCCTTTTCCCTCTCCCTCGCCCCTCACACCCCTCACCCCAACTCTCACAGCGCAAGCGCTGCTGGCAGTGAAGGGCGCGCTAGGGGTGACCTTCACAACGTGGGGGCCTGACATGCCGTGCACCACGGCTTCGACCGGGCCAACCATTGAAGGCACCTTGCCTGCCGTGTCCTGTGACCCTTTCGGCAGAGTCCGCACCTTGTGAGTCCTCACCACTGCGTGCGATGCTATTTATTCCTCTATCGCGGATCATTCTGGTCTGTTGCTGAGGTAATAATTGGCTACCACTTCTGCTGCCAATCTTCCTCGTCACGTCACTCAACCAGTTGCCACCACCATTGTTCCTTCAACACCCACTCTGTTCCTCCAGGCAACTGAAGCGTCTCAACCTTGCAGGCAGTCTTCCTCGTGCAATTTCCAATCTCACAGCTCTCACCTACATGTGAGCGTGCCTTGTTCACCTGCTACGCTATTTCCTCTGACTGCTACCATAGATAGTTTTCTTACCAGCTTTCCATTTTTCTACACTCCTAAACCACCTACACCCTATTACACCATGGAATTAGGTCTGCGACCTTCAACTAACTCACCTCCTGCCTTTGCTTCCACCCTTCTCTTCTCCTCCCCTCTCCACCACGCCACCAGCTCCGTGGCCTTCAACTACCTCACCGGATCGCTCCCCACCGCACTCCCCACCACGCTCGCCTCTCTGGACGTGCAAAGCAACTTCCTGGTAGGTTCCGTGCCGGCCAACAGCATTGCCTACTGCGTCAGCACATGCAACTGCCTGGTGGACGCGTCCAAGTGTGCATCACTGGGACTGGCACAGCGCAGCGCCGCTGAATGTGCCGTCTGTGGCTCCACCAACGGCCAGGGCACTCTGTGTGCTAATGCCACCACCTGCCGGGTTGCTGCTGCTGGGGCTGGGGTGACAACTCTCCCCACTGCGCTTTCTGCTAGTCTCCCTCTCTTCTGCGAGGCCATTCCCATGGACTTGAACACTAGTGAGTGTGCACCTCTTTCTATTTGGATTACAAACAAAATGATGACATATGGAGAGTGATGCCAGTGCCCTAGTTACCGTGTGGGAGGGCATGGGGCAGGGAGGAGAGGGTAGTCAGGGCTTTGAGCTCAGGGCTCGAAGAAAGTCACAATGCCCCCTTTGGTTTTAAATGGGTATGAAAATGAGTGCGAGTGAATCGTCAACTGTTATCTACTGCTAACGGTACTGGTGATTGAATTCTGGAAGTGAGTACGTGATTGAGGCAAGTTAAGAGGTTAAGAGGGAAGTTCAGAGGCAAGTTAAGAGGTTAAGAGGCAAGGTAAGAGTTGATACACACAAGTTCACCATTACGCTCTTGGTAGAAGGCATGTTCTGGCCTGCTGCTTTGCCACCCTCTTGTTCTTCGTCTGTCCACTTCCACCTCTGTTTCTTTATCTCGTTCAATACAAGCTAATTCGCTCATTCCAGTCCACCCTCACCTCCCTCTGTAAGCCCTTCCCTCAAATCACCTCTTCTTTTCCCTGTTTCCTCCTTTCCCCTTCCCTCACTCTCCCCTTTCCCGCATGTGCCTCTTTCCAGCCCAAACCATGGTGGCCATCAAGGCCGCACTGGGGGTGACGCTGACAGACTGGACTGCCACCCTGCCGTTGCTCAAGCCCTCCAGCCCTACCTCGCTCAATTCGCTCCCACGCAGCAGCAGTGTGCCGCTGGCAGAGTCTCTGGGCACGTGCACGTTGGAGGGGCAGACTCCCGGCCCAGGCGCATGGACCGGCGTCTACTGCAGCTCCAAGGGCGTTGCTGTGGGCATGTGAGTGCTGCATATGCTGCTGTGCTTTGTCGTGCTGCTGTGGGAGCTGCTCTTGTCTTTCCACTGGAGCTTGACTGTGTTGTTTTGATGTGACGTGGATGGATTGAGTGACACTCGCCTTCTCTCCCTCAATTTCTCCATTCTGTCCCACTATTATGCTTCACTGTGCAGTGTACTACCAAATCAGAAGCTCAGTGGAAGCCTGTCAACGGAAATCAGCAAGCTCACATCCCTCACCATGCTCTACGCCCTCCCAACCATCCTTTTCCATCTCACTCCCTGCAATATTACCAGCTCTTTCCTGCTACTTGTGAGCCGAACCCAGCTTACTGGCCCGTCTGCTCTCTCTTTTGTTTCGGCAGTGTGTCTAAAATAACCTGTGTGCTTGTGCATGCATGTGTGCAGCGACCTGAGCTCCAATCCCTTCCAGCGCCGCCTGGATGTCTTTCTCTCGCTCGTCTCTACCCTCAAGGCACTTCAGAATCTGTACGTTATTACGCTGTTCACTGTTCACATAAAATTCTCTATTCATTTGGGTTTAAAGTCAATTTTCCATACCCTATACAGTGCTGTGCACCTTGACACTATATATTTCCACTCTGTATGTTTATCTCTCTAATCTTCACCCCCTCCAATCCCCCTAATACCCCATCCTCTCCACTCCTTTTTACCATGCTCCTCGCGTCACATTACTTCCCACCCGCAGTCACCTACATAACAACTGGTTCTCTGGCTCCATCCCCTCATCTCTCGTCGCACTCTCTGCTCTCTCCACCCTGTAAGCGTTCCCCGCTCGACCCTCGTGCATGCTCCACCCGTCTGCGTGCTCCACAACTGTGCATCCTTTCAAAAACATCAAACATCATCCTCTGCCACTCAACTCTCTGGTTAACGTTCTCCCATTCCACAGTACTTCTTGACACTCACGCATGACAGTTACTCTAGGTCTTCTGTATGACATCTCCTCCCTTTCCTCAACCCCCTTGTTCCACACCATTCCCTCTTAAACCTAGCCTTTCTCCCTGCCTCCCCCACCGCCACGCACAGCAAGCTGAGCCGCAACTATCTGACGGGCACAGTGCCGGCGTTCAAGACTACCCTCAAGGCCCTCAACGTGGCCAGCAACCTGCTCTCGGGCGCCTTCCCCGCCATCTCCCTCACCGCCTGCGATGCCCGCTCCAACTGCCTCTCCAGCGCCACCAATTGCGCCAACGCTGCCGGCACGGCGCAACGGGCAGCCTCAGAGTGCAGCGTGTGTGGGTCCACCGATGCTTCTGGCGTTCTGTGTGGGGGAGGGCTGTGCGCCTCTGATGCCTCCGCCCCTGCTGCCTCCTCCACTCCCAACACGGACGGCCAGCCGCTGCTGCCACTGAGCTGCCTGGGAGTGCCCATGGATGCGGCCATGGGGTTGGCGCTGCTGAGTGTGAAGGCATCGCTGGGTGTCACGTTCACGGATTGGAATGTGGATGCGCCGTGTGCACTGGCAGGGCAGGCCGTGGTGCCGGGCTCGTGGTCCAGCGTTGTGTGTGACGCCACTGGCAAGGTCCTCACCCTGTAAGTGCAGGAAGGGTGCTTGGTGTCTCCTCGTTGTGATGGGGACTCAATGTTGTTCTGTTTGGGATTTTTCTGAAGTACTTATTTGAACCATCATATACCCATCATGCTGCCATCTATCCATGCTACATATTTTTTTTGCTGGTGACGTTGTGCTACGTACCCAACCACCTCCTTTTGCCACACGCATGCAGCACGCTTGGAAAGCTGCTGCTGCCAGGGAATGTCAACTCCTCAGTTTCCACGCTCACCGCTCTCACCAGACTGTAAGCTGCAGCTTCCTTCATTTCCCAACCGCTTGAATTTGTGGTTCGTTAAATTTCACCTTCCTTCTTTCACTGTGCACTTGGCAACTCAGTTGGCTTTCTCTGGTCCTCATGTAGCTCCATGCTGACACGCTCTCATCATCACATTCTCACATCCTCACGTGTGTGGGCTGTGCCATGCTGCACGTGTGTGGGCTGTGCCATGCTGCACGTGTGTGGGCTGTGCCATGCTGCACGTGTGTGGGCTGTGCCATGCTGCAGCGAGCTGAACAACAACCTCTTTTCAGGCCGCCTGGATTCCTTCCTCACCCCTCTTCTTCCCGTCAAGACCCTCAAAGTCCTGTGAGTTGCACTTGCTACCGCAATCAACCCTCACCCCAACAAAACCAGCAGCACTGCATCCCCAACGACACTTCACCCTCTCTACCACACTGCACCCCACCACCCTTACGCACTCCATGCCCAACTACACCGACCAAACCATTCTGGTTCCCCAACCATATTATGGTTGCTGTCGCGTTACTAACGCCTAGCCGTCATGCTAAGGCGTGAGTAACACAGCAGCCAGGTAATTGCGCTTTTCTGGACTTGTACTCTAATTTCTTTTGTGTGTGTGGTATGTACTGTACATACGCTATACAGAGCCGAGTGCAGGGGAATTCGAGGAGGTTGGTGCAGAAGAGGGAATTTGATTCCAGCTGGGAATTCGATTCCAGGTTGGGAATGCAATTCCAGCTGGGAATGCGATTCCAGGCTAGGAACTCGAAACCAGCTGGAATGCAGTGCATGCCTAGTGGGCCTAGTGGGACCCAGCTAGCGTCTTGGAGCCATCACGAGTAACGTACCTGACTCGCGTCTGGCACTAGAGCTAGCGTGCTGCTGAAGGAACCTAGGCAGGAGGAGGAGGGGATGTAGTCGAGGGTAGCACTCAGGTTTCTCGCTTTTTGCTTGTATGTTTCTCTTCTTACTGTAATCTTGTTTTCCTAAGCCAAAGGAAGCTAGCAGTAGGGAGAAGCAGGAGCAATCTGACGGAGCCCTTGCGGGGGAGTAAAGACTTGTTCATACAAGCAAAAAGTTGTAGTGCTGAAATTTCAGCAGAACAGGTACGAAACGCCTGGAGGATCTGCAGTGATGTACCGTAAGGGATGAGCGGCCTCGATCAAGAGCTACATACTCATCAGCTGCGTTCAGGTCACAGATTTCCTGCGCGGAGGATGGAGGGGCAAGATCTGCCGAGTAAGACGCCTGGGTTCCGAGCAGAAGAAGGAACAGCGAACGCGAGTGGTAATAGTAGCACGGATCAAAGAAAGGAGGGCGACAGACGGGGAGAGCCTCCGCTGAGCTCTAACTGCAATTCGCCAGCGCCAGGGATGGGATCCCGATCAGCCGGGGCTGGAGGATCTCAGCGTGGAACTCCAGAACCGAGAGCGGGAGATCAGGAAGATCAGCGGAGTCAACGAGAAGGAGAGGCGTTTCACGGATTCTCGGCTGGAAGATACGAATCCATGGAGGCTGGAAGAGGAGATCCGCCTGTGGGGATTGGCGAGAGGGGAACAGCGAGCTGGGGAACGGGCAGAACGATAAGTGCGGCACCACCTAAGATTGAGGTGCCAGATCGCTTCTCTGGAACGCCCGGAGAGGAGCCCACGCTGAAGAATTACCTTATGATGGTGGATGTTATCCGATACTGCTGGGAGAGGGAGGGGTTTGATCCCATAGAATTCTTCAGAGGATTGGGGACAACGCTGAAGGGAGAGGCGCTGACGCACTACCGAGTGGAGAGACAAGGGTTGTTGCTGCAGTGTAAACGGGGAGACTTCGCGCCAACAGAAATCACGGACCGATTCCTGGAAAGCCTGCGAGAACAGTTCCCAGGGCACTCGGCAGATCGGATGACAGGGTTCCAAGATTTTAAGAGAGCGAGAGGAGAATCACTGCTAGCGTACTATAATCGACTGCTGGAGCTGGCCGAAGACATGGGCTGCCTGGAAGAACGGACCTTAGTGTCGAAGTTCGTGGGTGGATTGGATGAAGACCTTGCGGAGCCGACTGTACGTGCTGGGGATGAAGGCGAAATTGCGACAAGTGTATCAGGTGGCGAAAGAGGTACACAGAGGTACTTTCGCATACAACTTACAGGAGCTGGGAAGATACAAAGGGAGGGAATTGGAGTTAAACTTAACCACAGAGCTGCCCACTTATCAGCGCAGGAGGCGGATGAATGCAGAAGACGCGGCGATCTGCAAGGAGAAATGCGAAGAGCTGCTGGCAGCAGGGATAATACGGCCGTCAGAGTCGAGTTATGCAGCAGCCACGGTAGTAGCTGTCAGAAAAGACATCACGGGGAAGGTGTTAGCGAAGCGGATGTGTGGGGACTTTAGGGACCTGAATAAGATCACCAGCCCAGACCGATATCCCATGCCGACTGCGGATGACATCTTCGACAAACTAGACGGAGCGACGATCTTCTCCACGCTGGACTTACGCCAAGGATTTAACCAAATCGCTATCAAGGAGGGGGACAAGCGAAAAACGGCCTTCCACGGAGTGGATGGGCTGTATGAATACAACGTGATGCCATTTGGGGTACGTAATGCGCCAGCAGTGTTTCAACGGGCTATGGATCAGGTGCTGAAGGGAATCCCCGCAGCAGCCTGTTACATCGACGATGTGCTCATCTTCAGTGGAAGCGACGAACAGCATGTACAAGGCCTGAAGCAGACGCTGGAGGCGATAGCAGCTGCAGGACTTACCTGCCACCCAGACAAGTGCAAGATAGCCCGCCGCACAGTGGCATACCTGGGGTTTGAAGTGAGGGGGGGGCGGCTGGCGATACAGGAAGCTAAAGTCAAGGTGCTGGACGATTTGGCTGCACCAAAGGACAAACCTGGGCTAAGGGCACTTCTCGGCTTCCTGAACTACTATAGGAAGTTCGTGCCGAATTTCAGTCGCCGAGCGCACGCCCTGAACCAGCTGCTCAGAGAGGGGAAGAGTTGGCAGTGGGGAGAGACGGAGGAAGCAGCCAGGCAGGATTTGCTGGAGGCAGTAAAGACGGGTACCCTGCTGCAGATACCTCGGGCAGACGCGCCATTCGTTCTCTACACCGACTGGAGCAGTATGGGGATGGGGGCAGTGCTCTGCCAGGAAATAGACGGGGAAGAGAGAGTTGTAGCATTCGCTAGTCGCAGCTGCAGCCCTACCGAAGCTAACTACAGCTCGTACGAAGGGGAGGGACTGACCGCCGTGTGGGGTATTACACACTTCAAAGTGTACCTGCAAGGTCGGCACTTCACGCTAGTGACCGACCACCAGCCCTTGCTATGGTTGATGAAGAACCAAGAACTGACGGGCAGGAACGCCAGGTGGGCAATCAAACTGTTGGGATTTGATTTCGATATCCGTCACCGACCGGGCAAGACACTGCAACACGCGGATGGGTTATCCAGGAACCCGCCGCCGATGCAGCCAGTGGCACAGCTGATAGCATTAGCACAGGTGGCAGAGGTGACCTGGGGGCAAGAGAAGGGAGAGCAGCGGCAGGTGGATGTGTGGGAGGATCAGGAGACCATGGGGTGGATAAAAGGAGAGCCGTTAGAGGACGCAGGGGTAAGCGAACGGGCCAGGGCCAGGGGGCAGCATTACCGATGGTTCCAGGAGCAGCTACACCTGCGCACTAGTGAAGGATGGCGCGTCGTGCCACAGCCGCAAGACAGGGAGAGGATCATGCTAAAAGTCCATGGGAAGCTGGGGCATTACGGTATAGCCAGGACTCGGCAGCTGCTGAGCACTATGTACTGGCGGGCGAGCATGAGGAAGGACGTGGCCGCTATGGTAGCCGCCTGCGAAGCCTGCCAGCGAAATAAGGCGGCTCTGGAGAGAGAAAGAGACGAGCTACAATCCCTACCAATTCGAGGCTTGGGGTACCGATGGTCGCCGGATTTGGCAGGAGAGCTGCCACTGTCGACCAAGGGAAAGCAGTACATCCTGGTCATGATAGAGCATACCAGTAAGTGGGTGGAGGCCAGGGCCTTGGCCAGCAAGAACAGCAGCTTGATAGCCGAGCCTGATACACGCGGAGGGAAGGAGAGTAAGCTCATTACATATGCCAGGAGGAACAAGGGTCAGGGGGTGTGATCTGCTGGAAGAAAGGGGACAGAAAAGTGAGAAGGGTGGAGAAGAGAAAGGGGAGAGAGGGTTTCAATGAGAAGGGAGGTTCAGCCGGACTCGCATCACGACATTGCTGGCTCCATAGCTTCCAAGTCTCGACCTGTCTTGCCTCCTCTTTCCTGTATTTCAGCATTTCCCATCCCACGGCACCCATCTATGTCAGGCATGAGAAACAGCCCAAACAATCCAAGCCAAAACAGTTTACCTAGAGTAACCCCGATATCGTGTAGCAAATATTTTGTGACTCGACAAATTGTAGCACACTCTCCCACTAATGCCATCGTCAACCAATTGCTGCCCTCATTCTCCCTTCCAGCCACGTCCACAACAACTACCTGTCGGGCGCCGTGCCACCATCACTCACTGCTTTCTCCGCCCTCTCTGAACTGTGAGATCTTTCCCCTCACCCTTTGCCACCTCCTACATCGAAACTCGTTATCTTCCTAAACACTTTACTTGTTGGCAGGCATTTTACTCTCCCACTCCTCACTCACTCTGTTCCTATCTTTTTAGTTTCTCCCCATCTGGATTATTTAATCGCATTGCTTAGACTAAATCTCTCCACCCACCATCTGGATTATCCTTGCAGACCTCTGTGGTTTAAGCAACATGCCTGTAAACGCATATAGGGCATCACCCCTCCCCTAGACCACTCCATTCTCCCTAAAATTATTGAAACAGAAGTTCAAGCCCCACTACGTGAACCATTGTTTCCCAATCCGTTCCCCTATACAGGAAGATCCAGGCCAACTACCTTACGGGCAGCATGCCGGCAGCGCTGCCGGCGTCCCTCAAGTACCTGGACGCATCAGGGAACTACCTGGTGGGAACGTTCCCCACCACCACCACCACCTACTGCAGCTGCGCCAGCAACTGCTTCACAGACAGCACCAAGTGCATCAATGGCACCACGCAACGTGCAGCAGATGCTTGTTCCATCTGCAGCAGCACCAACGGCACTGGGGTGCTCTGTAGTGGCGGCACGTGTGCTCCCAGTTCGACGGCTCTGATCGCAGCAAAGACTGTGAATACGGGGACGGCTGAGATGTACTGCGCGGGTGCTCCCATGGATGCTACCATGGGTGAGTGCAGCGAGCAGTGAGGCCAGGAGTGAGGCCAGGCATGAGAGTGTCTGTGGTGGGGTGTGTGTGTCAAGGGGGGCATGCAAGAAGGTGGTTGCATGGGCGAGAGGAAGAAGCTCTCATGAAGGCCTGCTCCCGTCTATACCACCAGAGTACTACAAAATGTGTTATCTCATGTCATAACAGATTCCATCTAACGTCAATCACATGATATCAGACCACACATCACCTTGTTCCAAGAATCACCAGCATTCCCCCACTCTGCCCGTCTACCTGCATATCTTCAGCTGCGGCGCTACTGAGTGTGAAGGCATCGCTGGGAGTGTCCTTCACGGACTGGGCGGTGAGCTCGCCGTGTGCCGTGCAGGGAGTGGCAGCACCGCCAGGCGCGTGGGCCAACGTCCTCTGCGACTCCACCTTCAAACCCGTCTCCCTGTGAGTTGTTGGTCTTCACAGAATCGTCCTGAACTTGCGCATCTACTACACATAGGCTTCTTTTCTTTTCACATTTTCCCCTGAAATGTTGGATTGCTGAAACACCATTTTCTCACACCATTTGCTGAAACAACATTTTAGTTCCCTTCAGCACCATTTTCTTCTCACACATGTTTTTATTATTACAGCTGCTGAGCCCTTTGTTCAAACATCACTTCTGTTTGTGGCTGACTTTGCTGTTTCTTGCTGTCGTTGGATGAGCAGCAAGCTGTCTGGCCTGAAGCTGACGGGGAGGATGCACTCCGATATCTCCAAGCTCACCACCCTCACCTCTATGTAAGTCAAATGTTGAAGCTCCTCAAAAGATACCTCTTTCCAACCAACCTCACCACCCTCACCACTACATTAATAACCACACACGCCTTCCACGCTTCATCTGTATTTCCGTGTCATCCCATAATCGCCACCACTTTGCAGCTGATTTTCTCATTGTTCTCTGACCCTTATGTCTCGAGCTTGCTGTCTTATTTCTGGACTTGTTCAAATTTCCATCTCTAAATTGTACTCCCGTTACCCCTCTCCTGTTTAAACTGCAGTTATCATGCATACCCCCCCTGTCTTTCCATGTACCCTCTACAGTGATCTCCGCAGCAACCTATTACAGGGGCGTCTGGATGTGTTCACAACCAACTTCAAGGCGCTCACCTCGCTCAAGCAAGCGTGAGTGGTGTGGCCTACCCTTTCTTTGCAGAGCAGAGCACGCATCTGAGACTGTCTTACTGGATGTACTCATGGGAGGCATGAGTGCATAAGATTCACGACTGCATGGAAGGAATGGCCGCATGGGCAGGCACGCACGTGTGCCCCGCATGGGGCTGCCTGCGCCACAAGTTGGGACAGGCTGCCCTGCCAGCAACGCACTTTTCATAGGCATATTCATTTCGATCCTCTCATTCATGGGCATTAGACGGAACTCCGGAGTGAATCCTCTCCAAATTGACCTCCTACCCTATTTCCTCTCCTCACAGCACCCCACATTTCCTCCCATAATGTAATACATCATCACATAGTCTTTCCACTTCCACCCCCACGTCTTTCCCCATTTACGCTTCCCTCCCAACTCTATCACCTCGCCTCGCCCATGGCAGCTACTTCGACTTCAACTGGTTCTCTGCGTCTATCCCCTCTGCCCTTGTGGGCATCGCCTCCCTCACATCATTGTGAGACTGCCTTGCCCTCTGCTTTTCAGTCACACTGCTGCTGCTCTGCTCCACGCCTTCACCCGTACTGCCCGATTGCCTTTGCTACTGCATAACTGCGTCCACTGCTTTTACCTCACTTCCTTCGCCCTCTAAGAAACCCCCTTACACTCAATCACTTTCATGTACTCAAGGAAATCTCACGCACACCTCACTCGCGCACACTTTCCTTTTACCCCCACCGCTATCAATCTCCCCTCCTCTTCAGCGGAGCGAGCTACAACTACCTGTACGGCCCCGTGCCCAAGCTCGGCACGGCTCCCAAGACCATAGACCTGCAGAAGAACTGGCTGTCCGGCACATTCCCCGGCACTGGCTTCCTCTCCTGCTCTGCCTCCTCCAACTGCCTCGCCAACATAGGCACATGCAACACCACAGGCACCAAGCAGCGCCCATTGGCTTCTTGCTCCGTCTGTGACTCTCTTAAGGGCACCGATCCCATCTGTGCCGGCGGCACCTGTGCTCCCAACACTGCAGGCCCTCTTGCCACCTTCACCACCCCCACCGCCTCGTCTCCCATTCTGCCACGCTTCTGCGTCGGTGTGCCTTTGAGCGCAGCGGAGGCCACCATTCTTCTCTCAGTCAAGACAGCTCTCGGGGTCACCTTCACCGAATGGTCTGCCAGTACCATTGCAGCCAAGGCCAGGACCCTTATCAGCGAGATCAGCAACAAGCCGAAGGCACTGAATAAGCGGCGCTTGGCAGAGAGTGAAGCGCGTAGGGAGAGGGTGCTGCTGGTGGCCCCCCCTTCAGCGCAAGCGGGCATGTGCACGATTCAAGGCCAGACGCCCGTGCCTGGCTCCTGGCCAGGCGTGTTCTGCTCTTCTGACGGCGTGGTTGTTGGCCTGTGAGTGCTGCCAGTCCACTCTCCATAATCTCTGTTGGGGTGTGGTGCTTCGTACCACCATAGTTGGCTGGTGTGTGGCGCTCCTTTCATTTCACTCTGTCATCATGCCTGACTTGGAACCACCACTCCGACTTTCCCTTCCCCTTCTGTTCTCTCTGTCTCTGTGCGCCCCCCTCTGCCTGCTGCCTGCTGTTGGCGCCTGCTTCTGCTCTGTCCCTGTGCGCCCCCCTCTGCCTGGAGGGCAGGGATCTTCGTAATTTCCTGCTGCGAGGTACCGTCCACGCTGACATCTCCAAGCTCACCACACTCACTGCGCTGTAAGGCCTTGGGATATCGGGATTGGGTGGGGTCTGCGTCTGGATAGGACGGTAATGTTGTTAATCATAATCAGTGGGTTGTGCCACAAGTGACAGGGCATGAGTTCTTTGATGCAGGGACGTTCGTGGTTAAGGCAGGATAGGACAGGAAACCAGTGCCCTGTGTGTCGGATAGGACAGGAAACCAGGAAACATCACAACCAGCACTCATTTGCATTCTCTGTCATAGCCTGACGGCCACGAATGCATATATGGTCCCTCCATAATTCCCCCCATCGTGTTCGCACCCATGTGATCCCCTCCCCATGTGTTTAACCCCTGTGTTCCCCCCCATGTGTTCCCTCCATGCACAGCTACCTGTCATCAACCTCTTCTTCCAGCGTCTCGACTCCTTTGTGGCTCCTATCCTGCCCATGGCCTCTCTCAAGGACATGTGAGTGCCTCTCCTGCCCACGGCTCTGTTAAGGGCCTGTTAGTGCTCCCAACCACGCAACTGGTAGTTCTTTTTGGTAGTAAGTGCTATTTGTGCAACCCCACCCCGCCGCACCTGTCGTCCCAAGTGTTGATGCATTAAGAACCTCCTCAACAACTTCTTCAGCACCTCCTCTGCACCTCCTCTCCTCTGCTGTCTCGTACTCTTAGTTGCACGTGTATTTCCTCTTGCTCATCTACGCGTTTGCGGATGTTAAGCTCTTTGCTCTTTGCTTTTCACTCCTTTCCTTCGATGTACTTTCTGTGTGCTTTTGTGCATGCATCTCTGCATGTGTGCATGCCTTCACGTGTCCCACCAGGGCGGTGAGCTTCAACTGGTTCTACGGCTCTGTGCCATCCAAGCATGTGACCATGGCCGCCCTCTCCAATCTGTAACTTCCCACGCTTAAACCCTTTTTCCTCTTTGCGAAAGATATTTAATTTTGAACAGTACACGATAACAGGGAGGAAAAAACAATTATTGAAAGAATGATCACTGACCACACTCCATGCTGTAACAACTATCATAAACCTTGTCGCTTGATCATTGCCTCCTTGTCCTCTCACCTTCACCAACTCCGCCATTCTTTTGCCATTCCTTAAAGTTCCATCAAATCTCTTTCTCGACACTGTTCAGAATCGATACTGATCATCCCCCATCCATTTTCCTACCTCTTTTCCCTCTCTTCCTGTTTTTCACGCCCCATTCCAACCACCAGTCGCCTGAGCTACAACTATCTGACAGGCTTGATGCCCAAGCCCGGTGCCACCCTCAAGTTTGTCGACACACAGGCCAACTTCCTCTCGGGCACCTTCCCCACGGCCACAATAGCCTGCAACACTCGCCTCAACTGCTTCTCCAACGCCTCAGGCTGCTTCAACGTGGATGCAACGGAGCAGAGGACAGCAGCAGAGTGCAGCATGTGTGGGTCAACACAGAAGAAGCTGGGGCTGTGCGGAGGTGGCACCTGTTTGCCTGTCCTTACACCTTCTCTCGCTAAGGTTCCCAACAGTGCTGCTGCCCCCGCGCTCACCATGACATGTGCTGCCGTGCCCCTCGATGCCACCTCTGGTGAGCCTCTTCCCTACCTTCCCAACAGTCACACGTGTCTGGAGTGAACCTTGTTTTCCAAATCCCGCTAGGTTGCCTGGACTTGCGCTCTCATGATTCATCGTTTCACCTCTCATGACTCCCTTGTCTTTCCAGTGTTATATGTGGATCCCATCCCTCCATGCCTCCACGCATGCTTCCGTATATTTCAATGTGCAACCATCAATGTAGCATCACTACACCACCAGCCACCCTTCCTTGGCTGGAATTCCATTATCCACGCTGCACGCCTGCATGTATCCACTCACTCAGCAACCTCTCCCCCTCGCCCCCCCACGTGCACTCACACTGGCAGTGGCGGCACTGTTGAAGGTGGGGGCGGCTCTCTGGGTCAGAGACATAGACTGGCGCAACGGCAGCAAGTGCAACATTGAGGGGCAGAGCGCCAACCCCAAGTCGTTTCCGGGCGTGTGGTGCAACGCCAACGGCACCGTCCTCAACATGTGAGGCTCCCCTTCCCTCCTCTTAACTCTCTTGCATGGTCCTGCATTAAGTGTCGGTGTTCTCATGAAAACCCCATGCCTCCGATCCCCATGCCTCCAATCAACCCCATGCCTCCTGCTATCCCCATGCCTCCTGCTATCCCGTGGCAGCACGTTGCCCAACAAGGCACTGAGGGGCATCATCCATGCCGACATCTCCAAGCTCACTGCCCTCTCCTACCTGTACGTCCCAATCCTTAACCTCAACTCCACGCCACCTGGGGAGTTAGCCAGCACAATATCCCTTCCCCTTCTGCATGCATGTTACGGTCATCATGAAAAAATGCACACCTGGGTCCGCTACTGGGCCTCTGTTTCAATAACCCCTGGTCTGCTCTTCACATTCAGCCTCTGTTGCAACAACCCCTCCTATCACTCGTTCTCTTCCTCCTCCTCTCCCACGCCCACTCGCAGCGATCTGTCCTACAATATCTTCTTTGGTCAGCTCTCCAAGTTTGTCTCCAACATGCTACCGCTCACCGCCATGGCCTCCCTGTGAGTTCGATCTAATGGATACCCAAAACACTGACCACCATGGCCACTCAGTAAGTTACCTTCTACGCAGCAAACTGGCCCATCACAGTCCAGCTCATTTGTCTCCCTCACCTTGGGCCTACGTTTACAATGTTCACCCACCACCACTATTTCTCGCTCTATATAACTCACATCCCTATGTGCCCCCCATGTGCTTTTCATCCACGTGACTGGGCCTTTTCAGGAACCTCAACTCAACTATCTCTATGACAGCATTCCATCGGCTCTGGTCAACATGCCTAAACTCACAGAACTGTAAGTTCTGCCAAACTTATTCTCATGTCCGCGCTAATGCACATGCTTCATGCATATGCTATGTCATGCCTCATGACTACGCCAGATGACCGTTCCCCACTCCGGATCCAATGCCCACTCCGTTGCATGTGCCCATGCCCATGGCCATTCCTGTACTCATTTCCATCCCAATACCCATTCTTATGCCCATTCTCGTTCCTGTGCCCGTTCCCATTGCCCTCATACCCCTCATTTCCTTCAATGATCTCCTTTCTCCTGTTCACCTCTCGCCCCTCATTTCCTTTCCCATCTTCACAGCCGGGTGGGAGCAAACTACCTGACGGGCACGCTGCCAGCCATGGCCTCGCAGCTGCAGGTGCTGGCCATCGCCAGCAACCTCCTGGCGGGCGCCTTCCCCACGCAGCCGTTCCAGCTGTGCGACATCCGCAGCAACTGCCTCTCCTCGCCGGGCTCCTGCACCAACGATGCCGGTGTGGCTCAGCGCACATCTGGCTGTGCCTTCTGTGGTTCCGCCACGGGCGCCCCGCCTTTCTGTGCCGGCACCACCTGCACTCCCGATGTCGCTGCTCGCCTCGCCGCTGGCACTGTCAACAACCTCACCTCCACCCTCCCAGCAATGTTCTGCAAGGCCGTTGCAGTGGATGATAACTCTGGTGAGTGGGAGCTTGTCGCTTTAAATAATGACGAACCATGAGGTGTGTGAGTACGAGGTTCTAATCTGCACGGGTGTGTTTATCAGGTTTGCCTTTTGAGTGGACAATAGCAATCCAATCAGCAACAGCATTTGTGTGCCAAAGTTGTAATGCCCACCGTACCCTCCCTTTCCATTATGCCCCTGCCTGCTCCTCGCCTCTACCCTCTCTCCCCTCCCCCCCCCCCCTCTCCCCCACTCCCCACCCCCCACCCCCCCCAGCGCTGGCGCTGCTGGCTCTGAGGGCGGGGCTGGGCGTGAGTGCGAGCAGCTGGGCGGTGGACTCGCCCTGCACGCTGGCGGGCAACGCCCCCGCGGTGGACAGCTGGACGGGCGTCGTCTGCGACCTCTCGGGCCAAGTCATTAGCCTGTGCGTGCGCAAGTGATGTGTTTCTGTGCTATGTGTATGGGTGTGCTATGTGTGTGGGCTATGTGCATGGGATGGGTGATGGGCGTGGGATTTATGCATGTCATATGTGGATGTGCATGTATTATGTGCGTGCATGTACTATGTCCATGTGTGTGTGCGTGTGTGCTATGTGCATGTGCATGTGCTATAATGCTCTTTCTCGGTTGATCGGAAGCTGCTTTCCACACTCATTCCTCCTGATGCGAACACCATGTCACGCCCCCTCAACCTCACAACCTTGCATGCTCCATGCCTACCCTGCCTGCTGCACCGCTGCTGCTCACACTAAATCTTCGTCTTTTTTTAGGTGCGTATATGGCATGGGTTTGGTGACGTCACAATAGGGACCTTTCCAACATGAAGCTTCGTGGCAGCTTGCATGCTGACATCTCCAAGCTCACTGCTCTCACCAGCCTGTGAGTGCAGCTGCTTTCACAACCACATGGGCCAGCATCATCCATAATTAACTTGTCCTGCATGTCTATAATGCCCCTTTCATTGTACCTACTAAAGCATGCTATCCCTGTTTTATTTAACAGAACTGCAAGCCCTTCACCGCACTGCTCACCTATCCGTAAACCTGTGCCCCCATACCTCCTGTTGCCTCCATACCCCCATTCCCCCGTGCTCGCAGCAACGTGGCCTCAAACCTTTTGGATGCACGCATGAGCGAGTGGGCTCTGCCTCTCACCGGCCTCAAGGCACTCAAGCAACTGTCAGTTCTCCTGCCTGCACAGCCAGCTTTCTTTGCTGCGCCCCAGACAAGGCCGGCATCTTAGGGCAAGGCCTTGAGTCCCTTCGTGCCGTGCGGGTGCCTGTATTGTCTCTTTTCTCGTTTGTCCCTCTCCTCTTGTATGACTTTCTGTGTCACCTTTCTCTTGTGTGGCTTTTTCTTCCTTTTCTAATATCCTCCAGGTCTCTCAACTACAACTGGTTCTCCGGCCCTCTGCCCTCATTCCTCCTCACCATGTCCTCCCTCTCAGCGCTGTAAGCACCCCGATTTGTGCAACCCTATCATCATTCATACACATGCACTCCCCCTTTATTGTTCATCACGACCCTTTCTTGTTCATAATCATGGATCATGGCACCCCCTTACTCCATGGTATACCTCCTTTCTCATGCCTCGCCTCACTCACCCCCCTTTCCTCTCTCCATCTGCCCTTCCTCAACCCCCACGCCCCCCCCCCTCACCAGCAACGTGCAATTCAACTACCTCACTGGTCCCATCACCGGCACTCCCTTTGCCTCCCTCAAGTTCCTCAACGTCGCCTCCAACCTCCTCACAGGAACCTTCCCAGCATCTTCCACCACCGCATGTGATGCACACAGCAACTGCTTAGCAGACTCCTCCAAGTGCCTTGCCTCCGGCGCCTCCTCCCAGAGGCTCGCCTCTGACTGCAACGTCTGTGGTTTGGGGAGTTCCAGTGGGGTGGTGTGCAATGGTGGGGCGTGCACCCCTGACACTACCGAGCCAGTGGCAGCACTCACGCCTAATAATGCCTCTGCTGCTCTGCTGCCCATGCAGTGCTCGGGTGTGCGCATTGACGCCACTGCAGGTGCGTCCACTGCCCATATAGAAAACAGAATCATTTTTCCCCTTATTTGCCACAGTACTTTTCTGCTCTCAAACGGTCCTTGCATTGATTGCCATGTGGCAAAACACATAGAGCACACAGAGATAACCAAGCCTAACAACACTAAACAAGATCAAACAAAAAGAACTTATAACAGTAGATACCCACCAGCCGAGTCCCCTAAGGGAGTTCCAGGGCTTCTCTCTCTTTTTCTGTACTCTTTCTCTCACTACGTCCCCCAAGCACTGTTTCACTCCCTCCCACTCGCTTCCCTCCGTTCTCCTCTCGTCCCCGCGCCCTTCAGTATCCGTGCTTGGGAGTCTCAAGGCGGCGCTAGGGGTGCCTATCCCGGACTGGGGAGGGAACTCGCTGTGCATGGTGGTCGTTGTTGTTTCCGGAGTCAGCAGCTCCTCCCCTGGCCCGAGGGACTTGGGAGGCGTGCTGTGCAGCCCGGCCGGTGCTGCGGTGGAGATCAACCTCAACACGCGCCAGCTGGCTGGATCCATGCATGCAGATATCTCCAAGCTGGCTGCATGCATACATTACTCTGCAAGGTCCAAGTTGCAAAATGCTGCTGCATTAGTAGTATATAGGTGGAAGCACAACTGATACAATTCCGGGTGCTGTTTTCTGCCTTAATCAAAAGTTGGTTCTGCATTTTTTATTCCACCGAGGTACAAAACCATTCTCTAATGGTAAGCGCCGGTTAGTGACTGGAAGAAACACATAATATATTTCTAAGACCGTGCTCTTTTACCTGGTAAGCTCACTGCTTTCGTAACCTGGTAACCTTACTGTAATCCATCTACTTTTAACCCTTCAGCAGCATCAGGCTGCCTTCATCTCCACTTCTATATGCACGTTATTTTCTGCAGCCTACATTCCTATCGCTCTGCACCTCTCCCTTGCGTCCCCCTCTTCCTGCCCTCCCCTTCTTTCTACTGCCCCACATATTACTGTTCCTGCAACTCATACTCTGTGCCTTCGCTCCCATGCCTCCCGCTGACCATCCCCCTATTCTGCAGGGCTTTCTACTCAAACTATCTGGCGGGTCGCTTGGATGCCTTCACTGCGCCCTTCACTGCTCTCTCCAGCCTAGAGATTCTGTACGCCCTTCTCTCAAACATTCTTTTCTAGGGATGGTATTTCCGACCTGTCCTTACTGCGATGGTATGGCTTGTAGAACGGAAATGTAACTGGGCGTAGAAATTTCTTTTCTGTATGTCATCCACGGTGTCTCTCAGACTCCAGAGAGATTGAGCCACTTGTTCTGCCTCTTGTTCCCATAGTTAGTGTGCCCTCTCCCCTTCCAAGCATATGAGGCACGTTGCACCTCACCAGCCTTCCATATAGGCATCTCCCTGAGAATGCATTACCTTGAGCACACGCCTTCGCCTTGTTTCTCCTTCTTTTCCTTTAATGAACCTGGCTCCTTCCCATCCATTTCCCTATCCACTTGCCCATCCACCTGTTTGCCCCACCCTCTTCCCTGTGTGTCGTGCAGCCAACTGCACTACAACTACCTTTTTGGGACCATCCCCTCGGCTCTAATTGGTCTCAAGAGCCTTTCCAAGCTGTGAGATTACCACCTTATGGCATTGTGTGTTATGCCATACTATACCATACCAGTCATCGCTATCATGCCAGACCTGCGCATGCCACTTCTACTCCTTCCTCTCCACCTCGCACTACACTCACCCCATCGAACACCTTGACTTCCTATTTGCCCTTCACGCACTCTTGGCTTGCCGTTTCTTCCTCACGGTATGCTCTCCCTCTCTTATTTGGGTCAGCTCAGGATACGCTCATCGATTATCCTGCACACGCTTGGCCTGCACCCACTCTACCAGAAAAATGCTGTCTTATGTACCAACTAGACTCGTCCAACTAGACTCGTCTCAAAGAGTCCTTATTTTCAATTTCCCCATGCCTCACCCCACAGGAGTCTGGGCTCCAACTACCTCACTGGGAGCGTGCCAGTGCCAGGCACTGCCATGAAGCACCTGGACCTCGAAAACAACTACCTCGTGGGAACCTTCCCATCAGTTTCCGTGCTGTCCTGCTCGGCACGCACCAACTGTTTCTCGAGTGTAGCTGCTTGCACGGCGGACGGAGGCAAAGGGACTGCTCAGAGAGCCACGTGCAGTATCTGCGGCAGTGCCGATGGCACGGGGGTGTTGTGTGGCGGCGGTGGTGCTTCCTCCTGCCAGCCCACAGCTGACTCCCTCGCCTCCCTCTCAACGCTTAACAGCCCCTATGCGTCTGCGCTCCCTATGGCATGCTCCTTGCTGCCGGCTGTACCCGTCAACTCTACTGCCAGTAAGTCACCTCATCGCATGGACACGGGCGGGCATAACACGGCTGGGCCAAAGACACAGGGAGCATGGCACATCCCACACCTTCGTTTCTCATGCTCCACGCCCTCCCTCCGCCCAGATACTTCTCCTTTTGTTAATCGAAGCTTCCAGTTTAATCCCCACTAACCTCCTCGCTTCCTCCCTCCTTCAACCACAGTGGCAGCGCTGCTGGGCATCAAGACAGCCTTGGGGGTGACGTACACAGGGTGGGCGGCAAACGCTGTCTGCACGCTGGCAGGGACAGCTGGCACTGTAGCGAGTGGGAGCTTGACGGGTGTGGAGTGTGACTCAGCTGGCAACCCCGTCAAGATGTGAGCACTGCATTCTGTGTTCAAGGTGTTGAATGGAACCTGAATGTACTGCCTTCACTGATGTTGCGTCCAAACAACTCTTGATTTGGCATGTGCATGAAGGAAGTGTGGGCATGGTGAGGAGTAGGGGAGCACATAAAGTGGGCAGTATTCAACCTACAGTGAAGAATGGAATGGACAGTGGCTCCTTACCCTGCATGATTTTTTGCTCTCCTCTTCCCCTTCTCCTTTTGCTGCTTGCGCTGGAGCTCCTTTGCCTGTATCCATCGTCGTCTCTCATACTCCTTCCCAGCTCCTCCTTCTCCGAACTCCGGTTGATCCTTCCACTGCTTTCTCGTGTTCTTTGCCCTCCTGTGCCAGAACTCTCAACAACCAGCAGCTGTTCGGAGTGCTCCCTGGTGATGTCACCAAACTCACAGCGCTGACTCACCTGTGAGTGCACCCACCCAAGCACACAGAGCAACTATTCCATGCATACAAGCACACACAACCATTTTAGCGAGCAAGCATTTTAGTGAATGCAGTGGACTACCAGATTTTGTGTCCACGCCAAGGTGCATACAATCGACATTTGCATAAACGATGCAACCAACTTCAGTAGTTGTAGAATTCTCCTGTTATAATTGTGAGAACACGCAACCGTGTAGTTGGTTGCGTCCTTCAAGTAGTTGCACTTGAGCATGCAACCGTGGTTAAGAGGACCTCATGTGAACAGTCTTTCTTTTGACTATCCACACCAGCATTACCTCTTCTTCACCCCAACTCCATCCCCTCTTTCTTCATTCTTTCCTCCCTCATCCCCTTCGCATCCCCCTCCCCTCCCCTATGCCCCTCTGTGTCCCACTTGTGCCCCGCCTCTGTCCCCCACATGTCCCCCTTGTGCCCACCCTCACAGCAACCTGCAGTCCAATCTGTTCAGGGCACGCCTTGAAGATTTCGCACTGAGGCTTCCTGCCCTCACCAACCTGGCGGTGCTGTACACGAGACTAATACCATGCGCTTTTTCCCTTCCGCAACAAGGCAATGCGAGTTTTTCTAGCCTCACAGTCCTCGTCTTGTCCTTTTCTCGCCCATAAATTTATCAGGTATTCTGCATTACGTTTAAAGAGTCTGTATGTTCCCTCAAAGCGTTCCCCATTTTAACATGTGTGCCCTCTTCGCCCCTCATCCCCTCTTCACGCTTGTCTGCATGCACCCACCGCCAGCCTGCTGGACTACAACTGGTTCAAGGGCTCGCTGCCCCGCCTCTCCTCGCCATGACCAAACTCACCCGCCTGTCAGTGCTTTGCCCCATCCTACATGCCACCAACCTTATGCTGCTAAACCATCTCCCACAAGTGCCTAAGAATGTGCACCATCTCCCCCTACTCCTGCTTATCGAGTGACAATGCACGCCCAAACCATATGCCACTACCTTAAGACTTTCCTTCATCTCGTCCCGCCATGTAACAAACACAGGAGCATGGCGTACAACTACCTGACATACCGCGTGCCACCGGTGTCAGCATCGCTCAAGGCAATCGTCCTCTCCAACAACTTCCTCTCGGGCACCTTCCCTGCCAACTCCGCCACCTCCTGCGTCTCTGCTGCCAACTGCTTCACCAGCGCCACCTCCTGCAACACTCCTACCGAGCAGGGTGATACGGCACAGCGAGCATCGGGGTGTGCGGCAGTGCGAGTGGTCAGGGCATGCTGTGCGGCGGCACAGGGGTATGCACGCCCAATGCTGCTGCACTGTTCACTGCCAAGACGCCGAATACTGCCGCTGCTGCTGTTCTCCCCATGTCCTGTGTTGGTGAGTGGTGCTCGTGTGTACAACACACCTGCTGGCCCAATGTCCCTTCACATTTAACAGCATCCACTGCCTTTTCTTGCCTGAATGTCCTCCCTTGTCCCCCCCGTTTTCATGTATTCTCCATGTTCTCCCTTCTTACGTGCCCCTCCACAGACCTTCTGTGCGCTACAGCTGCACCCATTGCCTGCTCCACTGACTGGCGCTGCCAGGGTCTGAAGTGTGCCACAACTGCCATTTCCAACTGCATTGGCTACCTCTGCACACCTTAGAAGTGCTTGTTGCAATATGTGGCTTGTTTTTCACATTTCTGAAGAAGCACCCTCTCTAGACCGGAAGCGTAGCGACTCTATTGGAGATAAAATTGAGGGACAGTAATCATTGTAGTTTGGGAAATGATTGGTGGATAGATGTCGAATCGCTTTCTGTTGACGCGAGCTAGATTAGCCCTAAAGGGAATGTACCCCTTCAGAGTACATGGCTAGCTAGGAAGTTTTGCATTCTATCATAATATTGCACTTCATAAACTGATGTTTATTTTTTCTGAAATCATTTCTATCATTATATATCCACATGGATAAGACTGTAACCAATTAGTATACTTCCCACCTCTCCCCCCCTCCAAAGTCTGGTTGGGATGTCCTTGAGTTTGTGCAAATTCTACCACTGAGCCGGCAACCCAAATTCAAAATCAGCGGCAATAATTTTCAACCCGGTGCTTTTGAAGCAACTACAACGAATAGAAACATTGGCTGACAGAGTTAGATACTGATATCATTGTGCATTCCCTGCTGCACTGTTCACTGCAAGACAGTGAATTTTGCTACGGCTGCTGTTCTTCCCCAGCCATGCGTTGGTGAATAAACAATGCTCGAGCGTACAATCGAGATTGTCCCAACCACGATGGATGGTAGTATAAGCTGTCAAACTATATTTAGATGTGTGTTAGGTGTGTTAGGCTACAGCAAGGTGCATTATATAGGGTACCACACTCTGCTTATATAGGGTTGTCTAATGGACCCAACTCTTGCTGGTCACATCACATTTCGCTTGCGTTTCTCTGACATGGTAACATCAGTTTGTTCCTAGGCCATGTCGATCCTAGACCGTCCTAGCTCCTAGTGCCTCCGCCGGCCAACATGCCTCGTTCCCTCCATCTCCGCCTGCCAGCCAGTACGCCAGCCCTCACCACCAGCCATCCAGCAGCTAAGAAAGCGCTCACTAGCAAGCAAAGCATGCTATACAGCATGCCTCCTGGCAGCACGTGCCGTACAGCCACAACCGCAAGAAGCAAGCAGTGCCCCCCCGCCCCATAGGCAGCTTACGCCCCGCCCATAGGCAGTGCGTGCACGGCCACCAGTACCGGCGAGCACAGGCCTGCAGCATGCACGGCCCCCGTCAACCATAGCGCACACCTCAATCTACCAAAGTGTGTAGCCCAGCCAGCCTGAGTGCGCGCCCTAGCCAACAGCAGCGCCAGCTTTGCCAGCAGCAACGTGTGCTACTTGCCAGCAGTGCGCACCTCACCAACAGCATTCTGCGCCCTACTCACATACCATCAACAGTTGCACACCGCACTAGTCCATTCGCCCGCATGGTTCTCATTGCCAGTGGCTCCTCTAGCAGCGGCTTGCACTCGCACCCCTCGTTCCTAGCTTCCTCCTGGCACGGATTAGGGTTTCGAGAAACAAATCTGACATGCGGTTCTTCACCAGCCAAACCTTGTTGGTCATACTAGCTCCTAGAGTGACGTTCCTCCCTCCAACCATTCCTAGCTTTGGATGTGTCTTGCTTCAGCCACTCCTCCCTCCAGCCGCTCTTGGATCCAACTGTTCCTGGGCTTTTTTAGCTCCAGCAGCTCCTATCCTGGTTTCCCTTGACGGTTGTTGCCAGCAGTTCCTAATCTCAGCTCCCTTTCACCACGACGTGTACTAATACTCTGCAGCAGCAGTGGGGACCTCAGCAGCAGTGGCATTCTCCGCAGAAGTGGGAGCCTGTTGCTTTAGACAGCTGAGAGGCTTGTGGCGGTAGCTGCGACCTCGGGCCCGGCCAATATTGGATCACGTTTGGCCCTGGTGCTGGCACTAATTGCTGGCGTCCTATCCACTCCACGTTGCGCTGCTTCGGCCGCCTCGATGGTTTCCACTGTGAGCGACTTGAGCTTGTTGCAGTTCCCCCCTACTAGCCTGCTCTGTTTTGCCGCGGGTTCTGTTTGTTTGATATGCGATAGATTTGTTTTACTCTGTCATGTACCATATTGAATATAAAATTGGCGGTCTGTTCGCTTATGAGCAATTAGTGTAGAATCCTTACCTGATGGTAGTATAGATACTTGTGTTTCTTGTGCAGGTGCTTGTATAGTTACTAGCTCATGTGTGGCTATTGCTGATGCATCTTTCTCCATCCCGCTTGAATGTTAGATCGTCCCAGTTAGATCGACCACACCATTGTCACACCACTTCCGGCACCAACCTTTGTAGCTTTGGCTGATCCCAATGCTGGACCAGCCATCGCTCGAAGGGTCACTGTCAAAATTTCGGCATACAAAACCTATGGGGCACTTCTTGCGACGTTCTCCTGGGAGCCTTTGTCGGGGTCTCTTCACAGTGCACACTGAGTCCTTCCAGGTTCCACCTCCTTGCGCCTCGGATCTCCAAGGCTGCGAGTCATTTCCAACTCGCAACTTCTTCCTATTTTGTATCAGAAGTTTATAGTTGGTGCTGGACCTCCGTTTGCTCAAAGTATATCTCATGTCGTCATTTCTTGACTAAACCGAGTACTCCATTTCCAATATGGAGCACATCAGTTGATGCTATATTTAGTCCGCTATCAACATTTCAAGCCACTCTGCAGAAATCGGTCTACGCAATTTTTTTTGTTTGTTTTTTTTTTTTAGGCCTACCGTATTCTCCCGGACAAAACACCCCCCCATGATTGTACACCCCCGGGTAACTTGTGCGAGGTGGGTGCTATGGGTGACCTCGATTTTACTATACCCCCCTTTTTGGTTGATTTTCTATAACACCCTCCTTTTCTTACGGATTCGTTATTATAGTCGTTAACGAGTAGCTGCAATACGGAAGAATATCGCGAGAATTTCTACCTCGATGAAATTTCGCGGTACTTTCACTTACAATCTGCCGACATTTCCCCCCTCCCACTATTTCCCCCTGCCACGTGCTGGCGAATCTTCCACTGCAAGTGGCCAGAAAGGTGCCACATGGCATTTTCGTGGGGGTGATGAAGTTCGCGGCCGAAACTCACATTTGTGCCTCAGACAGTGATGTTAAAATGACCATCAAAACACCCACATTGTCTAGTTTAAAAAACACTGACACTAAAGTTTGCCATATGTAAGGAAACGGGTATTATGTAGCTTTTTCCTATGAGAAGACACTCCCCCTTTTTTTCATGTATTTTTATATATACCCTAGGGTGTTATGTCTGGGAAGAATACGATATTTGATCCATTGTGACTATAGTTGGGCTGAGAAAAGCCCTTAGGATCTTTTCAAGGCTTAAGACTCTAGTAGGAATGTTCTAATTGCGGAAGCGTTTTAATAACAAGTATTGAACCACCTTGCGCTAGTATGTGAGGGAAAGATAGATTGATTATAGAAAGGTAACACAAGCTTTTTTATCTGACTACAAGGAATATGAAAAGGTACAGCCTAGCTGTTTTACTGTTGCTGTTGCGGTTCGATACAGTGACGGCTCAACAACTGCTCAATAGCGAGTCAGTTGTTTGTCCTTGCTGTCGCGCTGTATTTGTCGAGTCAAAGGTCGCTGACCTTTGACCTTCGCATAACCTCCGACTGTTACTTTTTGTCAACCTCCTCGGTTGACTCGCCGTTGCCTCGCTGTAATTCGCTTCGTTTACAGTTCGATGTTCCGACACATCAGAAGCATTAAGTTACTTGTTTCCAACAATTATTGCAAATGGTATCAGAGCCCTTTGGAGCAGATTTGACAATGGCTGGACCTGAGGAAATGGGTGGTAGAGGTGCTGGTGGAAGTGGAGAACCCAAGCTCAAGCCAACCCCGTACTCAGTCCATAGCTCCCGTGCAGATAACTCTTGGACCAGGAGTGTTCAGGCTTAATAACTTCAATGGCGACAAGTTTGTTGGGTGGTCCTTCAAAAAAGAAAACACCTTCGACCCGATATGTATATCAATTTATTGTGCAACAACCAGAGCGCGATCAAAATTGTAAACAAATCTGGGTTCGTCACCCGCACAAAATACACCTCCCCTTGTTACTTCTTCGTGAATGATGAAGTCGACAAGGGCAAGGTCAAGCTCACCTACCGTCTAAATGGTGAAATGGCAACTGATCTCTGTCGTTTACAGTTCAATGTTCCGACACATCAGAAGTGTTAAGTTACTTGTTTCCAACACTCCCCTTCGCTTCTGGAGTGTCGTTGCTGGTGACGTGGCCTTGTCCAGTCAGCAGCATGCAGTACTTGAACTTCTGCTTTCCGAGCTTCTGCGGAGAATACTATTCTACGGGAGAGCTTGACTAGCGTGGGACACACGGTCAGAGTTCTGGCAGTGATTCTTAGGAGTGAACTTCGTTGCCTTGGTAGAATTCAAGCAAAGGTTTCACTAGCAAAAGTTGATAGAAAAAGATTATGGTACAAGTAAAGAGAACCAAATAGCAAAGGCAACGAACCCTGTAGAAAGTTTCCTCGACAAGCACCTGAATCTGTCGAGTCAGCAACGGCAGGTGAAACGACAAACGCATGCAGATTTCACCTGAGTTGGTAGTTGCTCATGTTTACAACGTTCATAATTGTGTACGTTTTTACTGTTAGTAAAAACGTGTTTCAGGTTCTGTTTCCTTACTGAATCGAATTCTCCTGGGGAGTACAATTTCCGAAATTACCTGATTGGTCGAAATTTGCTGTTTCGTGGTTGGGCGAAATTCGCGCACATTTCGAATTTCGGATCTAAGTAATTATGCTCGACCAGAATCGCTCTGCTCGACGAAACACTCGTCGAAC